TAGCAAAAGCTCTAAAATAATTGTATACTATGGAAATAACCCAGACAATGAAGATGGTCTAAATCAGAATTGACGTTAAATCCATGCTTGTTGATTTGTAGCTGCTCTCCAATTCTTTTTATTTTTTAGTTTTCGAATATATGTATATTAAAATTAGGATTATTCTAAGGTTTTTTTTGTGGGGGCACGAGGCTGCCCTGGCCATTATCGGTACAGAAGCCGAATCTATAGTTTTTAGAATTTTTGTCTGTCCGGCTGTCTGTGACCGTATCACGGTAAAACCACTGAAGGGATTTTTATGAAATTTTGTATTGTTATCTGGTTGTATGATGTTTTTCGGGTTAACATATAGGATACATTTTACTGCGGTGAAATAATATTTCATCTCTGAGAAATCTATATACTAAACGTTAAAACGTAAGTAGGGACGAAACCGGGCGGAGCGAGGGTGAGTGGCTAGTTTTGATACATAATAATTAATAAATGATATGAACTAACGAATAACTGAACGTTAATAATGTGTAGTTTACGCCTAGAAGAAACAACGGCTAGTTAGTTTAATACAAGCTTAACTCATTACACCTACAATAAATGAATGTTCCCTTTTAAGGTAATATCACCGAAATGGAAAATACGAGCCGCGTATTCTTGTATTTACCTAAAACGTACATCAATAATGAATAAATTAACCATGAAATAATATGTATATATTCAGTGGATGGCCTCGCTTTTGAGTCACACATTCGTTTACTTCGCCAGATATGAAAAGACCTTTTAAATATGGCGAATTCGTTTGTCGTTCCCCATATTAAACTTAAAGGAAATCCTTGTACTTCAAACGGTGAAGAGTAAATAAATAGGAAGCCATCACATTTTTATTGCATAACTTATCAGTTATAAAATAAATAATAATTTTCATGATAAGCAAACGCTTTAGTTTCTAGTTACTATTACTCAGGTACTTCACTGAGACTTACGAGTAGTTATAACACTTATAAATTACTAGCATTACCCGCGGCTCCGCCCGCGTTCAGATGACCAAAAAGCAAATTCTTAGGTTTTACATATTAGAATACCCTTACATTGCAGTTTTTGTATTTTTTCTCAAAAACGAGATACATTACCGCGGTAAAAAGTATCCTATATATTGACCCGGATAACCAGCTATCACCATATCAAATTGCATCAAAATCCCTCCAGTGGTTTTTATGTGATGCGGTAACATACAGAGAGACAAAAATTCTAAAAACTATAGATTCGGCCTCTGCATCGATATTAAGGTCTTTTTCAATAAGATTTTCCAAAAAATATATTTAATGTACAGATTCAGCTTAGTTACAATTTTATTATATGGCTAGATAATGCAAATGTTATGTACAGATTAAACTTACCTAACTGCTTGGTACAATTTAATATGCTAAAATAGTACTTTAACGTCCTGCACCAATTGGTAATGTTCCTCATCAGCATTGAGGAACAATGAGCGGATGATAACGCCTTATCTAAGCGGCGGGGAAGAGGCGCCGGAAACATGCGACAACATGGCGGCTTCTCAGTGTACTTATATGCGCATACGCGATATGAACTACTCAGGAGACATCGCAAAATTGCATCGTCAGTTCGATGCAATTCGAAACAACTGCTTTATTTGATTTACGTATGAAAACAAAAAGATATTAGAATTCTAGCGCTTATCATTTGATATTTTATATAAAACAATTTTTCGGATTTATTCGTGGGTTTCTTTTCATATGTTCGTTCTGAAACATCGAGAAAATAAAATCAAAATAAAACAGCAACAGAATTCATTAATTCAAAGTTTAAAAAACAGTTTTATTTAAAATTAACTCATACATATCTTTAAAATATACTATATTATATTTTTTTCATTACATATTGATGAACACGTTTTTATAGACTTGTTTTAATATTCTACTTGTTTTAATACTCGGTAAACAATACGTAGACTCGAGAAATTTTATTCTAGAAAATCCAAGTTATGCAAGAGACAACTTGTACAGTGTACACAAGTTAATAACTACCTAGTACCTACTACCTACCTGACATTCTTTATATATGATTAAGGAATATATAAAATCTTTGAAAACATCTATTGCAAAGGTTTTCTTTTTCATGTTGTTTGATTTGTTTCCTTTTTAGTTACTGTTAGAGGCTACTTAGTAAACATTTAATTTGTATCGTACTACGTAATAAGGGCATGTTTATGCAGGTGTATCCAGGTTTAGCTAAATAGTCGAGATCACTCAATTTCCTTTCTCTCCAATTAACAACACGATTCAGAAACAACATACTTGCAGAAAGCAACCATGATATCCTCCGAAAAGTTTCAATATGTTTAATATTAATAAATTAATCGATGTTTTGATTAGCAAAGTCATATATGTGTGTACTATGTAGTATATGAAACTGCGTACTTTCAAGATTAAATCTTATCTTATTAATATTAAAAATATGAAAGTTTAGATGTTTGGATGGATGTTTGTTACTCAATCACGCCAGAACGGCTGAACGGATCTGGATTAGATTTGGCACGGGACAAAATTATAGTCTGGAATAGCAAATATGCTACTTTTTATCCTGGAAAAATGTAAGGTTTCCGTGGGATAGATTTGTTGTTGTATTTCTAGAGGCTAAGTCGAGTGAAGCGAGCGTGAGCCGCTAGAAGATAATATAGTCTGTTTACTAAACTATTAATTATGTAAGAAGTTTATTTACAGTTACAGGTTTAAATTATCTTTCGCTTTGATTATAAACATACTTATAGTGCTTAATCTAGAATATGACTCATTGTTTATATCAGGAGTATCTTAGTAAGCATTTTGTTGTTGCAAAAAAGAAACACTAGTGGGGAACGTAAACATCGAGGATGGTTGCATTTGGACTTTGGTGTAAGCAGAACCTTAAACATTCGTTAGGAGATTATCTCTATCCTGCGCTAATCATAAATGTAATATAAAGAACTTCCGCCTTTTCGAAAATCGGATAAAAAATTAAAATTGTGTGTTGTTAAAGCAATAGCTCGACAACAATATTTTTTATATAGAAATATTGTTTACGGGAATAAAAGCAGCCTGTACTTACTACTCTACATGGCTAGTTTTAATCTTCGTATTTTCATTAGTTTTCATGTATACTAATATTATAAAGAGGTAAAGTTTGTGAGATTGTGAGTTTGTCACGTTGTAGGGATAATCTCTGGATCTGCCGAACCGATTTAGATGAAATTTGGTAAGAAGATAGTTGGAGACCCTGGGAAGGACATAGGATACTTTTTATCCCGGAAATCATCCCTTAAGAGGGTAAAAACGGGGATGAAAAATTTATGGGGAATCAAGTTAGGGACGAACCCGAGCAAAGCGAGGGTGAGTCGCTAGTGATATTATATTGCAAAAAGTTACTCAAAGACTTGCGATGATAGAAATCTTTGTAATATTATGTAAGTCATGTCCCTTGTTCAAATGTTTAATAAAGTACAGTTCATAAACATTTATCACATATACACACCACAATTTACATTATAATAATGTTCATTGTATAGATACTGAATTATTCATACTATTGGATAACAGTGGGCGCATATCGACCGCCATTTTGAAAGTAATCCTATATTATTTGCGTAGGTGCAAAAATTATGGTCATACTAATGGTCAACAAAAACTTTTATTTTGTTTAAATAAAAATATAAGGTTCCGTTTAGTACAAGATGTCTTATCTTATTAAAATATCAGTTGTTCCATTGCAACATTGTTACTAACTATGATTACTTGATTATTCAGGACCTTCACTTTTCTACGTATTGTAGTTTTTTTTAATAATTCTAATATCCTATACTAATCGGATTTTCCTTAGTCCCTGACATCTGGTTATATTTAAAAAAACTAGCCTGAGCGAACATTCCGTCCACGAAGGACGCGTGCCTGCGTACACGCATCTCGTATCTCACTCTCGCAAATTATCAGCTCTCCCCTTAACTCGCAAATCAGGTACTGCTTTTATTACTATCAAAACCTGTTGGCTTTTATATACTAACTACAGAGAGTAATGAATACTGATAAAATGCAAATTTTGATAATTGTTACCTATAAAGGTAATTAACAATATGCAGAGTTAAAAAAAAATCTTTTTTGAATAATATAATATTACTATTAGTGAAATATTAAAGAATCAAATGCTTTTTTTCCCTGTTTACTTTGAAAGATTAGTAAATCTACTACAAGTGGCAAATTATTAAAAATAGGTTTTAGCTTACTCAGTTTCACATTACGAACATAAATTATTAGTATTTCTAGTATAAATTCATTCATATTTTAATATAAGCGTGAAGAAACCTATTTTCCAGTTTAAAATATTGATGAAAAATTATAAATATTTGTATGCTTGAAATTCTAAATGCAACTTTATAAATTAACTTGAATTCTGAAAACAATGAAAGAAGTTATTTAACTAACATTACTTCACTTACAACAAAAAATAGGTTAATATATCAATATGTAATTAAGTGCTCAACTGATAAACCTATTTCTTTGATAATTTACTTTTTATAATTACATATTGGATGATGTAAAAAAATGTTAAAGCTTCTAAAACCATTACCTAGGTACTTCATAAATTTCTGAATTGAATACCTTTACCTATAGTATGAAAATTATACCTGATATGTTCATACCCTATAAATGGTAAATATAGGTGATCTATTTACCACTAATATATACATATATGGTATATATAGTGGTAAATAGATCATCAGTTTTTTTTTATAAACTATGGTTTGTTTATGTTCTTTTACAAGTTTCATCAGTGTATGAAATATAGTTTGAAGTATCATAGTCTAATTTACCAATTTTTTTTGTAAAGTAAAATACCTTTGAATAGTAAATTTAATTCTAAAATACAAATGAGTCAGGAGACATGAGCTGAACAATTCATGATTATAAACATTACAAATTGGCATAGTGACTTCATCTCTCATAATAACTTACCGAAGCTTTCCGTCAACTTCAGCATTACTCCACCAATGTGCATATCTCCCTTCACGACCATAGTACGCTTCTCGTTCAAGTCCGTCACATAGATCGTGAGGTTCCATGATCCGTCACCAACTATCTCACCGTCTGCCAGCATTTTGTACAAATATAAATTCACTACACACTATAACTATGTCACTCCCGCAGGCGCATCGCGAACATAAAACTTTTATAATAAATTATGAACATGCACGCTTTTACACGAATGACATCCGACTGGTGATAACGGTGCAAAGCGAATACGATTAAAAAAGGAGTGAAGAGTGAGGACTGAGGACTGAGGAGGGTGACGGACGGACGCAAAGAGTATAGATATGTACTGGGGACGGACGTGTAAAATTCTGTTGATGTATTCAACAGAAGCATAGAGTATATTGCTACATATATAAACAGAAGTTAGGCCTTAGGGTGCCCAGTATAAATTATATTATTGGTATTTTCCATTGTGGATTATTCCCTCTATATTTTTAAAAACAATTATTATAAATATGGTAAGAAATTTATAAACTTACATAATATTAAATTTGAGAAAAAAATATAATTTTTTATTTGTAGTTTTAAAAATAGATAAACTTTTATGTACCTATCTCATTTGTGACGTATGTCACTTTTACATATTTTATTATCTTTAGTAAACGTCAACACTCAACAGTCAACTGTCAATTGAAAATAAATGAATTTTTGGGGAATACACTCATGAGTTATGTTAAAATATAAAATACCAGAATAATATTTTAAACGTAGAGTAATTGTTCATATTTGGTGTTTGTATTTTAGTTTTTACAAAACAATATTTAATTAATTTTAAAATTAATTTATTTTGTAAATATTGTGTAGTACAATGTACTATGTAGCAAAAGAATGAAAATGTTATGAAAAATACATTAGTATGCATGCCGAAATTCATTTACGTATGAGTACTAAAAAAATAAAGGATAATAAAATGGTTGCAAAAAAAATAAATAAAGGCAAGTATTTTGGCATTTGAGTTAATCTTATTTTTTTTGTTTTCGCGACTTCCTATGCGACTATCTTCTTTAACTACAATGCATGTGGTTCCAGTGTCATGCTCTACCCCTGACCATCGAGTAGATTCACCATCAAGAGACATTGACTCGATTTATGATTCTGAGGCAGCCAGTCCTGTACCTTTTCAGTGCACTCAAGATGGTGTTGAAGGGGAGAGAGATGTTGTATGGAATTTCTATACACCAACTTCTAAAGCAAGCAATTCATACAATAAAAATTCTACACCAGTTAGCAGGAGAGTAAAAAAAACAATAAGGCCAAAAGTAATAGAAAAAGCAATACCTAAACGAAGAATGATAAAATCATCACAGAAAAAAAATGAATTATTACAAGATCTTATTACATTAAATCAAAATGTGCTAGAATTTCTGCCTAAAAAGAAGGAAATAAAAACTGAAAAACCTCAATCTGAAGAAGATATGTTTAGTGACACAAGTGATAGTTCTCCTAAGAGCATATTTAAAAATAAAACTCGGTGTTTACGTAAAAATGTATTGAGCTCAAAATTTGTTAATTCTGAAACAGAAAATGGTTTAGAATCTGATGATTCTATAAATGAATGCTTAATAAAAATAAGCCAATTTGTAGAAGATAAAATTCTGAGTAATGAATTTAATAAAAACGCAAAAAGGCCGTGTCTTGAAAACGCTGGTAAAAGTGTACAACCTAATGTAAACTTAAATGTTGATCAAGATTCTATAGATGCTATTTTATGCAATGTAAATTTAGATTCCCCATTTGTAAATAAAGTAAAAAAATGTGATACACCTAGGTTAAATAATGATTCCTTTGACAATTTATTAGGAAATTTGAATGATAGTGCTTTGGAAAGGTTATCACAAATACCAGTTAAGAATGATACATCAAAAAAAAGAAAAGAAAATGCAAATTGGACTATCAAAGAACTAGTAGGGAGTAGCCCGTCAAATAAGTCTACTTTTGGTAGACACAACTCTATGCCTGAATCACCATCAGTAATAGAAACTAACAAACCTTCAACAAGTGGAATGGTATTTGGAAGATATAATTCAATGCCATTTAATAAAAGTGAAGAGATAATATTAGGTAGTGTATGGGTTTGCTATTTACAAATGTAACTTAACTGACCTTTTTTTATTTTAATATATTTTATTTATTTATTTATACAAATCCACAACAGTATACATATTTTACATTTACAATTTACTTAAATCTAATTATTTTTTTATGTATTACCAATTACATGAGTACATATTATTTGCTATATATTATTAAAACAGTTAATAACAACCCGTTTAATATTATGTTCTTTATCTTTAAATGTCCATATTGGAGGGATTTTAAAATGCCTTCTTTACTACTTACTCCTACATGTTATTATACTTCCTATACTAATAAAATTATTAAAACTTGGTGGTAGTGGTATAATTAAGAGATAAAATTTTTTTTTTTTAATAAAATCTTTATACTTACACATATTACTTATTGTATAGCTATTATATAATATAACTAGCATTCCCGCGGTTCCGCCCGCGTTAGTATGACCAAAACCAAATTCTCAGGTTTTATATATTAGTATACTTGTATTGATATTTGACCACGACCAGTCTGTCAAGATTGTAACGACTAAGAAGAAGAATACTCGTATTAGTATATTAGTTGACCCGGAAAACCAGCTATTACCATACCAAATCTCTTCAAAATCCCTCCAGTGATTTTTCTGTGATGCGGTCACAGACAGACAGACACACAAAAATTCTTAAAACTATAGGTTCAGCCTCTGTTAGTGATAATAATGTGTATTTCAATAAAATTTTCCAAAAAATATTTAAAGCACAGATACTGCTTCATTAAATTTTAATGTATCTATAGACGTAACTAATTAAAAGCCAAAAAGATTTTTTTTTGATAATTTAAACACAGGAGGATCTGCAGGTAATTTAGTAGTAATTCTAATAAAATCATAGAAAGATCGAATTTGTACATTTAATTTTTTTTGGATTAAAACTACATATTTTAAAGACACATGGTGTATATTGATATATCTATTGACAAATATCTAAATAATACAAAAAATAATTTCATTAAAATATTTTTTTTAATGAATAAAATAGTGCTATTGATATACATTTTCAAGATTAGCTATTTTTAATAGTTTTTGACATATTTAGTAAGTTAACTTGCTAAAATATATATTATCATCGTTTTTTATTCTAACCAGTGTATTTTTTCTCAGAAATGAGATATTTTTCTGCGGTAAAAAGTATCCTATATGTTGACCCGGATAATCAGTTATGACCATACAAAATTTCATCAAAATCCGTCCAGTACTTTTTCTGTGATGCGGTAACAGACAGACAGACAGACAGACAAAAATTCTAAAAACAATAGATTCGCCCTCTGTATCGATAATAATGTTTATTTCAATAAGATTTTTTTTAAATATTTAATATACAGATTTGACTTAGTTAGAATTTTATTATATGTTTAGGTTATAGCTAACTATTATTATATAATTATAGCTAACTTTTATTATATTAATTCCAGATGATTCCCCCATAAGATGTACACCTGATGAGATAAAGAAAAAACACCAGCAAGCCAGAGAAAAACTTCTTGCTAAGAGACAATTGCCATTTACCTCTTCTGGACTCTCTTTGGCGCCATCACAAAATATTGCTGTCCAGAAGAAACCCATGTTTCAATATAAAATCCCACCTTCTAAAAACCCAATGGATTTAAAAGTAAATGAAGCTAAGTCGATATGTGAAAGAGAATCTAATGTTAAAACCAATACAAATGAACATGTACATATTAAATTGTTAATTGAGAAAAAAAGACAAGAAGCCTTAATGAAATTAAAGAGAAGACAACTTCAAAATAAATCCTCTTAAAACCTAATTATAATTGACTAATTATTATAATTAATGTTATCTAAATCAAGTTAAAAGATATTATTGTATTTTTATATGCAGTGTCCTACCTTTTAAATTAGCTATTAATATGTGATTGAGTAAAAGATACCATTGTAATCATAAAATATGATTATTTTTAAAATAAAAGAACAGAAATAAGTTTTTTTTTTAAATTCGTGCAAGTTAGACAAAGTACAATAAATACTTTGTATATTACCAGTCATCTGGCATTTATGTATATGATAGCATTCTATAAGAGAGAACGCACACTAAGCAGCCTGGCTGGGGCAGACAGTCGAACATGACGGCGTATGAGAGCCCGCGCATTAGGCAGCCATGGCTGCCTGCCAGCCAAAGCGAGTGTAGGCGAATGTATGTGGCTGCGGTCTCCACGCACTTGTCCGTAGCAGTGAGACGTATTACCATACGTAAGAAGTAAATAATATGTAAAATAAGCTACTTTTACCCGACTGCGCCAAAAGGAGGGCTATGTTTATGACTGTGTGTATATTTCTTTGGCACGCGCTGTTACCTAAACAGTTTGAGATGTGTCGTTAGATTCGTCTTAATTGTGAGAGTGACACTGGGTATATCAAAATTAAAATGGCCGATATTTGGCGCCATATTATGTCATTTTTTTCTCAAAACCTACCTCGAGTGGGGTATTACTTATTAGAATAAAAGGTTTTATAAATGGCTTACAAAAAACATACATACATTTGGGAACCCGCGCACTAATGGGTAGCCATTAAAACGCGCCTGATTGTACGGCAGCCCATTGGCTGGGTGCTGCCAGTGACAGTTTAAGCAAATGTATGTGGCTGCCGGCGCGGTCTGCGCGCACTAGTGTCGAAGCAACCAGACATAGTTATTAGTTTGCGTTGTGAAACTATTTTACAAAATGACTTCGTCCCAACAGGTCGTCACCATGGCTGCTATAGCTGGCTGATCAACTTTTTTGCCCGCCGTAGCCTGGCTACCGCAGCCAGGCTGCCTAGTGCGCGGTGGCTCTAAAAGAAAATTTTAGGAATTCTAAAAGAGTATTGTCACATAATTTAGTAGATGAAACTAAGGATTTTTCGAAGCACGGCATTGATTCTCGCTTTGCTTAGGTTCGTCCTAGGTACGTTTTATGGTTAACATAGAGTGTATATTATATGTCATGTTAATGTGTGGTATAAACAAAACGTGTGTGTATGTACTTATGTACGCACGTAGGAAGTTATACTTTTTTGGCGTAACGGAACAAAAATAGCTAAAGATTTCATCCCGTGTCACAACTCTCTGTGTAAAAGGAATCATAAAATAATTTAAAAAAGGCATATTACAATCGTATATTTATAGAATATAATCTTATATACTACTAGCATTGCCCGCGGCTCCGCCCGCGTTCAGATGACCAAAAACCAAATACTTAGGTTTTACATATTAGTGTACTCTTACGTTGCAATTTTTGTATTTTTCTTGACCCGCGATAAAAAGTATCCTATATGTTGACCCGGATAACCAGCTATCACCATACCAAATTTCATCAAAATCCCTCCAGTGGTTTTTCTGTGATGCGGTAACAAACAGACAGACAGACAAAAATTCTAAAAACTATAGATTCGCCCTCTGTATCGATAATAATGTTTATTTCAATAAGATTCTCCAAAAATATTTAAAGTCCAGATTCGGCTTAGTTACAATTTTATTATATGTATAGATTTGTCAGACAATAGCAACGGTTATCCTGGCAACAAACAGTTATCAGTTAACTTCATATCGCTTTTTGGCTGTCGGTGTGCGCGCGCATCGTAAAAATTTTACACTCATATTTTTTTCAAAACGTCCTAAAATAAGTACCACTTCAATAAAAACTTTTAAGAAAAAAATAAAACCGACTTCAAAAAAAGCATTAAAAAGTAAAAAATAACTGATTGGTAGTTTTCATTTACTATACATAACTAATCAAATATTTTCGAAGTCGGTGTGTTTTGCTTTGTATCGGCTGCCCTATTTAAAAACTCCAATAGGATCTCATCGAAAGCGACAAAAGCCACATAGAAACCAATAAATATTTATTGGTTTCTATGTGGCTTTTGTCGCTTTTGATAGCATTCTATTGGTGTTTTTCAACAGGGTGGCACCAAGGAAACTTGAAATTTAAATGGGACCAATCTGGAAGTATACACTTCCAAATAAAACAAAAATTGTCCAAATCGGTTAATAAATTACGGAGTTCTGAGGTAACAAACATAATAAAAACATACAGCCGAATTGCGAACCTCCTCCTTTTTGAGGAAGTCGGTTGAAAATTAAATCCCTTACTTGAGAAATGGTTGATTCCCTATACTAACTTTCATCTCTTTTTTACCCCTTTATGGGATGATTTACGCCTTCCGGTATAAAAATTATCCTGTCCTTTCCAGGGTTTCAAACTACTTCCTTAACAAATTTCAAACTAAATCGCTTCAGCGGATTAGGCGTGAAAAGGTAACAGGCAGACAGAATTACTTTCGCATTTATAATAATAGTACGAAGACAATATAAAATTTATTAATTATAATTAATAATTATTAAGATTTCATTAATATATCATTATAATACTTCACAACTATTGAAAAATAATCTATATAATTATCAATAATTTAATTAAGCGTTGGGGTAAAAATATATTATATATTGGGGTAGACGGGATTTATTAGTTAGTTCTTTGCTTTAATGGCTTGTATGCGTGCCAGTTGAGCACAAATTATTTCGCCAATGTCACGTTGAATGGAGGAGTCACGTTCGAGATTGGCCGGTGATATTTTGAGTTATTCCACTAAGAGAATGGATTAACAGTATTAAATAGAAGGATTTTAATGTTATACCTCCACCTAAAAAATAGAAAAAACAACACAAAAAATTAATTAAATTATACTATGTAAAAATAATATTATGTTAGTAGGTTAACTTAAAGAGATGTTAGTTCTAAAGCTTAATTTTATTAAATTTAATATATTTACACAAAAATCTACATAGGGGACTAAACACAAACATCAATAAACATTGAACATTAAGGGGACGGGGGACTTTAAAAGGAAGAACATCGTAAAGGGGACGAAGAAGTTTGGGGCAGTTGAAAAGGATGTGGGAAGCTGAACCTTCATCCAAACCGCATTCGCATAATGAGTGGTCCCTGACCCTGATCTTAGCCAGATGAACAGGAGTGCTTGCATGTCCAAAGCGTAGGCGACTAATAGTAGTAATAACCCACCGTTCTGCATGTTTCTGACGATAAAACCATGGTCGCTTTGGTATCTCCGCCTGAATAGAAGCATAATGCTTTCCCTTAGAAGATTTTGATGAGTTCCAGTAGCTGATCCAGGATTTGTCCAGATGAGTTTTTGCCAGTGATAATAAATCTTGAGAAGAGTTGGTAAAATGTTCAAGAGATCCACACTGAGTAGCAACTTTAGCGCAAGAGTCAGCGGACTCATTGCCAATAATACCAGAATGAGCTGGGATCCATACTAACTGGATGATCAACCCATTTTGGAGGCATGAGAGCAAAGCTTCACGGATCTTTAAAATAATGGAATACCTTGATTTGCTACGAAAAGGATTTTCTTTAATAGCCAATAAACAACTTAAGGAGTCAGTCAAAATAACAGTCTGTTTTATGTTATGCGAATGGGCGAACAGGATTGCTTCTAGTAAAGCAACAGCCTCGCCTGTAAACACCAACGATTGGGGAGGACATTTGAATTGGAGAACAATTTTAAATTTAGGTATCCAACACGCTGCCCCAACACATCCATCATTAGATAATTTAGATGCATCTGTGTATATATGTACGTGGTTCAACCAATTTTGATGCAAAAACGCTTGAAACTTTGTGTTGATGTCAACGGCACCCTTTACTAGACCAATATCTGTTATTATAGGGGGAGCATACGTCAAGGCAAGATAGGAGGTAGAGAAAAGTGGATTAGAGTTAAAAAAATTGATAGGATGAGGGAGGTTGGTAAATCTACGATAACTATCTAAAAGGTAGGATACAGGCCTATGTAGAGCGTTAAGTTCGGACAATTCAATTAAACGAGGCCACAAAGGATGGGATGAAAGCTGTAATGATTTACAAACAAATCGGTCAGACAGGAACTGACGCCGAAACGGAAATGGAGGATCCACACACTCTATCTGAAGAGCATTAGTTGGAGTAGACCTCATCGCACCAATTATAATTCTAAGACTTTTAAATTGTAATTTATTAAGTTTTTCTGAAGCTGCCTTATTAAAGGGGTCTAAGATAAAGATACCATAGTCAATATGGCTCCGAATTAAAGCGTTATACAGCAGTTTTTGAGAATATGGGTGTGCACCCCACCACACACCAGACAACGCTCTTAAAACGTTAATGCCTTTCTCGCACTTTTTACTAATATATTCAGTATGAGCAACTCCGTTCAATCTGTTATCAAGTACTATGCCTAGAAATTTAACTTTATCAGCCACTTTAATTGGTTGATCCTCAACACAAAAATTAAACCTTGGAATAGATCTCTTTTTACGAAATATTACTGTCTGGCATTTAGCCACTGACAACGATAAGCCATGATCAGAAAGCCACTGGTTTAGATAGTGCAAAGCAGTATTTATACGAAACTGAATGTCCTCTATAGACTTTGAACTAAAATAAAGGACGATGTCATCAGCATACTGTAATATACTGCAAAAATTGTTGACAGACAGTTCGAGGTCATGGGTATAGATGCTGTACAGCAAAGGGCTGAGAACCGAGCCTTGAGGGAGGCCTTTCCAGACCTGCCTGGGAGGAATAGTTAGCAAGCGGTGTCTAATAGATATAGTTCTACTGGCCAGCAGATTACATATAAAATGAGTCAACTTCGCAGGAATACTCAGCTGTTGCATTTTTTGCCTGAGTAACGGAAGAAGAACATTATCATATGCAGAAGCAATATCCAGGAAGACCCCAACCAAGTATTCACCCTTAGCAAAGGCTAGTCGAATGTCTGTCGTAAAAATGCTGAGACTATCTATTGTGCTCAGGCCCTTCCTGAATCCAAACTGAGAGGGCGCCATGATTTTCCTGCTTTCCACTAACCATTCCAAGCGATTTTTAAGAAGATGTTCAAAAATTTTGACAAGAGTGGACGCTAATGCAATTGGTCTATAGGAGTTGGGATCAGAAGGACATTTTCCTGGTTTTAAAATTGGGATAATAAGCTGAGATTTCCATGCTTCAGGAATTATTCCTGAATCAAAAGTTGCATTGATTAAATTTAAAAAATATTTTTTAGCCCTATCATTAAGTTTGGAAATAAAGGAATAGGGAATGCCATCTTCTCCTGGACACGAATCTTTTAAACCCGTTAAGACGTTATTGAGTTCGTCGAAGGAAAAAGAGGCGTCCAGTTCACCAGAAGCGGGAGATGGTGGAAAATTCAGAAAGGAATCATAATTAGGGACAAAAGGAGGGGCTAATTTATCTGCAAAGTCATTAAGCCAATCGGATGGATTATTGGAATTGAGTTGAACATCATTAAGAGACCTGCGAAATCTCTTAACATTTGTCCAAACTGTTGAGGATGGGCAACGGGGATTCAGGGACTCACAGAAATTAATCCATCCTGACCTTTTCTTTTTTGAAACTAGTCTCCTAAACTTAGCATCACTCTGCTGGTAGTTTATAAAATTCTCCCCTGTCATAGAGGCCTCATATGACACTTCAGCAGAAATTCTACTATTGACAGCATCAGTGCATTCCTGATCCCACCATGGATTGGAAAGCAATTGATTCTGTGAAGAGGCTTTTTTAGGAATATGAAGGTCTGCAGAGAATAAAATAGCTAAAACAAATTGGTTGTAACAAAAAATGATATTCTCACCATTAACAAGCTCAGGAAGCGATTCAATCATACAATCAACTGAACAGGCGAAATCTGCCCAATTTGCTTTCTTTAGGTTATGTGAAAGTAAGGGTTTGGTGTTTGGAAGCGATATATTTCTATTATGGATAGATATAAGGATAGGAAAGTGGTCACTACCATGGGTGGATGGAAGTGTGGTCCATGATAATTGGGAAGCAAGAGAGGGAGAGGATAAAGATAAGTCCACAGCGGTCTTAGGGTTTTGGTTAGGGTGAACTCTTCTGGTCGGAGAACCATCATTTAGGATGCACATGTTCAGGTCATCAAACATATTAACCAACAAAGGAGAGACTCCATCACAGTAATAGCACCCCCACAAGGTATGATGAGTGTTAAAATCTCCCATTACCAGACATGGACTGGGAAGGGCAGTAAGTATAGAATATAGCTCAGGAATAAGGGCAGGGGAAGGATGGGGAATATAGAGTGAGAGGAATGAAATATCAAAGGCTCTCACAGCAATAGCATTAATGTGCTGGCTGTGAGGGGGGAGAGGAATGGAGGAAAAAGGAGTAGAGTGCCGTATAAGGATGGCACTTCCTGCATACCCATCACTTCTGTCATCCCTCAAACAGGTGAAACCTGTAACTCGAAACCGAGAACTAGGCAACAACCATGTCTCTGAGATGGCAATAATGACAGGCTTATGCAGGTTGATAATTGAAAATAGTTCATGTTTCTTATTTTTAATACTTTTACTGTTCCATTGTAGAAAGTGGAGTGGGGCCATTATTAATAATTTGGAAAAGGTGTAATAATTTTTGGGCAACGTTGGACGGTAAAGGGAGTTCATCGCACATTGAGATAATACCAATTAAAGTTTCTGTAAGAGAAACTAAGAGGGATTTGGTATCTGAAGGGGTATTAACATTATTGTTAAGAGCACAACCATTGGATAAAGAGGAAGAACAATTGCCAGTAATGGCTTGGTGTGCTTCTTTATCATATCCCTTGCCCAAAGGAGCCCTGGGACGTGGTTGACGGACAACAGTTTGGCGGTATGATTTAGTTTGTGAAGGAGAAGTAACAGGTGAGTAACTTTGAGTAATGGAATATGCAGGAGGGGTAAACATTTCCTTAGCTACATCAGAGTAGGATCTTTGGACAGGAGGAAAGCGAGCAGAGGCTTCCATATAGGAAACATTATCTTGCGACATTATAATTTTGATAGATTGCTGTCTAGAAAACTCAGGACAATCCTTATCTATGGCAAAATGTTTGCCTGAACAATATAAACATGTCGAGGTATCTCTGGAGATATCACATGCATCCCCAGTATGTGGTTGGGCACACCTGTAACATCTAGGCCTTGATCGACACTGGGATTTAATGTGACCAAAGCGACAGCAGTTAAGACATTGAATGGTAGGAAGCTTGTAAGTTTCAACAGGTAAGGATGTGTGGTAGCAATATACTTTTTCAGGCAACATCTGCCCACGGAATGTTATAACAATAGATTGAGTTGGAACCCATGTAATCACACCCTCATTGACATTCTTTCGGTTCAGGCGTCGCGCTTTCATCACTGCTCCACAACCAGTAGGAAGTTCTAACGACTCCACCAGTTCGTCCATTGACTAGTCTACTGGGACACCTTTAATAAGACCCATTCTTGTGACATTATATGTTGGGATAATTGCTACATATTTTGCCATAGATAAAAAAGGGTTGCTTATAAACTCATTTGCTGCCTGAGCAGAGGAAAATTGGACAGAGATTTTATTCCGGCCAACATTTTTAACACCATCATTAACTATAGATTGAATTTTGTTGTGGTGTAAAAATTGACCAAATTTAATAGCCCGTATAGTAGTTCCTGCTGCTGGGTCTGCAACTTCCCGTGAGACAAGAACAATGTAAGGACCTTTGTCTTCGTTGGAATAGGATTTAAGACCATCAGACATACTAGGGTGGACATAAACATTTTGTATGGAAGGAGTGGCTGAAGTAGGATCAGTAATTGTTTTTTTTGTGTTCTCTATATTCTTATTAATTTCACCTGGCCTCTTACGCGTAACAGGCCTTGCCACCAAACTAACATGACCACCTCCAGTGTCCGGTGGATCCGGAGGAGGGTCACCGTCCATTATACTAAACTAAATCTACAACTTAATTTAAAATACACACAACACACACAATAAAGCTACTTACCGCCACCTACAACGCACAAATACGCACAAAACCAACTATTTCAATACTTTATATTACAAGAATCCTTATAAGAAATGCCGAAAATCTCACTACACGTGTGTCAACCACAACAAACGGAAGCGAAAACTAGACGGGATTTATAACGAGAATTAAAATAGACAAATACCTATTTGTAAAAAAACATTGGACATAATAAAGACACAGAATAAGAAGTAAATGTAAGTAGAATAAGAAAATCTACAAGTAAAAATTTTCATATTTATACGTATTTCTGCATAATAGGAGGGTTAGTGACCCCTTCACTTTTATTTTAATTTCGCGCTTTACAAGTGTTGCAACTTGCAACACCTGATGTGTTGCCGTCACGTCAGACATCACTGTCATTTTATGAAACTTCAAAACTCGAAACTTCGAAAGAGAAAATTAGTTCCTTCACGACGAAGACAAAATCGAAACTAAAGAATTGAATTGAAGAGATACGATAGTAAAATTTACAACCTTTCGTTTTAACAATTATATATCATATTATAATAAATATGTAATAAAACAACGATAGATCTATTAATAAAACCAGCAATTGTTTCAAAATATTTTTGGTGCTTATAACAGTAAAAAGTGTATTTGTAATAATAATAATAAACTAATATGGCTCTCACTTATGTTCGTCAACTTAGCAGAGCAATATGCAATGTACAAATTTCGAAGACTCGAATGAATAGAGCATTAAACACAACTCAACCCGTAAGACTTGGAATGATACCCATCGTCGTTGAACAAACTGGAAGAGGGGAGCGAGCTTATGATATATATTCTAGACTTCTTCGTGAACGTATAATTTGTCTTATGGGACCGATTAATGATGACATTAGTTCCGTAGTTGTAGCTCAGTTACTTTTCCTTCAATCTGAATCGAGCAAAAAACCTGTACATCTTTACATCAACTCTCCAGGTGGAAATGTGACTTCTGGTCTCGGTATTTACGATACTATGCAGTACATAACTCCACCAGTAGCTACTTGGTGTGTTGGTCAAGCTTGTAGTATGGCTTCCCTTCTTTTAGCTGCAGGAGCTCCGGGTATGCGCCATGCACTCCCTAATTCGCGTATCATGATTCATCAGCCTTCAGGTGGAGTCAGAGGCCAAGCAACAGATATTCAAATTCAAGCAGAAGAAATATTGAAGTTAAAAGCACAAATAAACAATCTCTTTGTTCGTCACACAGGATTGCCTGCTGAAAAAGTGCAAAGCTCTATGGAACGTGATAATTTCATGTCACCAACAGAAGCAAAAGCGTTTGGATTGATTGATAATATCCTTGAACATCCACCATCTCATGCTGTGGAGACCGAATGTGCTTCAACAACAGCCACATCTGGCACCACCACTACTACTACGAATTAACACTGTGTGATAAATGGCTATGATAAATGACTCTTGTTATAATGGAAAATATATAAAAGTTAATTTTTTATGTTTTTTTGTAGTTTTTTTTAATACATGTCCCTGTATTTTTGTTGATGAATTAACATAACTTATTTTAACTTGCATATAATTATTATAATCAAAGTACATAATATATTCTATTTCAATACTTCTAATTTTAAAATCTGCATTATTATTGGATTATATGCATTAAAATTGTAGTATAATAAAAAATTAAGTAATTAAAAATATTTTTTTTGCATAATATTCAAAGAAAATCAGAAATCCTTAGCCTTTCAATAAAACAATTTTATTTTATTAATTTTTAACTTTTTTATTGATTAAACTTATATTGGCAGTATGCAAATTGTGTTTGTTGTTTGATCCAGTGATAGAAATATGATACATTAGTATACACTGGCAATGCTGAATGTAATTCTAATTTGTATGACACTATACCCAAGAGTTGAAAACTTGGAGTCACCAAGCCACTACCAGAATCACCACTGCAAAATTAATTACACTAATATAAAAAAATATATGAGGTAGAATATTCTTATTTTTTTTTTAGGTAGATTTTAACAATTCTCTGTTGAAGTAGAATGTAGACAATATGTTGAGCAGTTTTTGAGATATGGGTTATTTTCGATCGTACACGTTCAACCTCAAAATTAACATGTTTCTCGTAAACAAATAATATTCATGAATATAGTACATGGGTAAACATTTTATTACAGCTCGACGAATTTTGTGTTTTTTTAAACGTGTTATAAATTTAATGTTTCATGCTGTAGAAGTGTGTGAATCCGATTTTTTCATTTCGAATTAAATTCATTAAAAAATAACACTTACGCGGCTGGCCTCGGGTCAGAAGTTCGCATGCTCCCAGCGCAAAAAGTACTTTTTGTAATCCCAACTACAGCACATAAACGTTTACTTTTGACGGATTGCCTTACCGATTTAAGACTTATAGGTTCTTGTCCAGTTATGTCCTACCATTTTAAAGAACCAAGTGAATGTTTGTTTATGGTTTTTTAGATTAACACAACCTTTAGAAGGTAGTTGGTATTTGCAACGAGCCATATCTGGGACTTTTTTTTTGAATTCGTTAGCGATGTCATTAGGAAGAAAGAAAAAATGATTTAAATAATTTCCATTGAAAATTAATATAAATAGATCCTAAAATGTATTTCCCTAAGCAAAGGTAGGTAAATGATATTGGACACTTAAAGTGGTATGCAGCTTTTTGGCATTTTTTTATTTTTTCCAGTAATCAAACATTACCTATAGCATAACGAGAACACTATGTAAAAAATCAACCGACTCGCTAAATCGTAACCAACCAGAGCTATTGTCTTTGCTATTCCTTTTTATCAGGCGTTATTTTTTAATAAATTCTACTTTATTTTACTAATTTAGTTTATGTAGAGTGACTTGTAACTCTTTTAGATCATATACAAATGTTACTGCTAGGTTTGGTTGGAGGATCTGGGTAATGATTGAATCCAATTTTATGTTTTTATGACTTTGTACTTGGATCTTCTTCAAAATCGAAATATATCTTTGGTTTATTTTCTTTCTGTTAACAATTTTTAACATTTGTTTATGATCTAGGAAGGAGCCGAGCCACTCTATGTAAACTGGTTGAGTAGAATAAAGTATTATTTATTATAAAATAACGTCTGATAAAAAGGAATAGCAACCACAATATCTCAGGTTTGTTACGGTTTAGCGAGTTCGTTTCTTCTTTAATAGACTTCTTACGTAGTCTCCTAATTATGATCTAAGTTTCATTACTGGCGAAAAAAAAATCTGATGCCACCAGTACATACAAAAGGTTGCATTGTAACATAAACAACAAACATAAAGCAATTATGATATTGGGGGTTCTGTCTGGGTTTGAAATAAAAAAAAACCTAACGAGAAGGCGTCTATCTGCGTTATCCAATTCAGGTCTTTCACATAGTCGAAAATTAAAACTACAAATAAATAATATTTTATCTAGTTGCTCTAAATTTTAAATAAATAAATATAATAAAGTAACTGGACAAATGATTAAATATTAGTCGTACAGTAACTGGATTAATAATCACATTCAATAATTTAAATTTTAATTACATATGCTTACATTTATAATGCCCCAACCGGCTACAACACCTTTGGCATCACTTGGAAAGGATCGCTTCAATGTAATCCTTTTAATATATTTCCCTAAAGGAAGCTCTCTATAGAGTAGTAATAGAGCGATATCATTTTCTACAGTTGCGTACGTAAAGTTATCGTGAACTATTGACGTTCTAACTTTTCTATGTGCTATTGCCTGAAAAGTAATTTATATTATTATTTATAATCAACTTTATTAGCATCCTAATTGAATCAAAGTGATAATGGAAATAAAAACCAATGCTCAGGTAGAAAGATAAGTTTTTTGCCACATTCGCGATATTAATATACCTATAGATATATCTTTTTTTTAAGGAAACATTTCCTGCGCAATGGTGGAAAAAGTTAAGAAATCCTTAGACTGCCAGCGTTATGCATATTTTTAATATCTATCTATAACATAACTTTTCTTATGTAGCGCATTGGATCCAGAGATTTATAGGCAAATTAATATATAGGAGACTAGCAATGGGATAAGCTCCCGCGGTAAAAAGTAGCCTATGTCACTCTTCAGCTGTCCAACTATCTCCACACAAATCACGCCAATCCGTCACTCTGTTTCGACGTGAAAGAAGGACAAACAAACAAACACACTTTCACATATATAATATTAGTATGGATATGGATATATAGTAGAAAATTTATTTTGTGTGTCCTACATTTGCACGCTATGCTATGTAAACAGTTAATTACGTTTTTAATGTTTTCATGTCCTGCGAACGCCGATATTTGATAATTACTGTCACCGTAAAAGCAATGGGCGGCAGACAATAAATATAGTTGATTTAACACTGAAGAACCACATATATGAGTTTCGCCAACTTTATTTATAATTTCTAGAAACACTGCGTGAGGATGATGTCTTATTTTTACATAATCACCACCAACTATTTTCTTTTCTAAACTTGAGTAAGATTTGCTTATGAAGGAAATATGTAAAAGAATGAAAATCTTTCTAATTAAGTCAGCCATCGGGAGCATAATTCTAATAGTTTAAACAAGCTATTTGATTTGGTTTATTTTTTACTGATTACATTCACGGTTTGATTTCAGTAAGCGATCGTAAAGGTAACAATAATTGGATAATCATTTTATAGCTGTAGTTTGTACTGTATTAAAGGAAATATTAAAGTCATAGGTATATATGTACTCTTATTGGTGTTGTGAAAATATTTTCCTTCATGCAATAGATACTCGTGTGTTATTTTATGTGTCCGCGAAATGCGTGATGTTATACGACGTTCATGAACGAACTAATTCGTTCATGACGACGTTGTATGACGCGATATTAACGAAAATTTGTTTATATGCATAGTATGTATGTAACTTCTCTGACCAAAACCTAACCTAACCTAACACTAAAATTGTATACATGTTAAGAGTTTGTAGTTTTTTTTAGTAGGTAGTACTTTATTTACAAAAAAGAAAATTACAAATATACTTAATTATATATACAAAACAAATGTACACTTAGTTATTACTGTACAAGTCATGTCCGCGTGGAATAGTGGCAAGAATGCTAGCCGCATTCCCCCGTTGAATGGCAATGCCGATTCTTTGGGCGAAAAATGCGCTAGCCCTCCTGTCACCAGTAGAGGTGATAGGACGGGGTGTTATGTCTTTTAAGAAGAGCTTAGCACTTTGACTCCATGGGCCAGTAAATGGAATAAAAATATAATTTTCACTAAGGGAGGTGTATTTACGCAACTTAAGTAGTTCAGCCTTCTCCGCCGCAGCTCCATCTTTAGACGCGGTCTCCCTGACATGAGACGGGGCCAATGTGTCAACGCATGTAGCGTCCCACAATAGGCCCCCTTCCCAAGGAACCAGCGACAGGCCATCAGGTCTCTTACCATCATCTCGACTTATTCCAGATGGCTCTATAAGAGCAGGAATGTCAATGGTGGCAAGAGCCCTTTTGATGGTATCGTTTAGGGAACCATGACGGAAAAGCCTGCCTGAACTTCTTTTGCAAGAGAGTCCATGGAGTCCATAGGAGTCAACCTCTTTTCCACAGGGGCATCTGTGCTCAGTGCAAAGCGGTGTACCCAGCCGGAGACCTAAAGCGATACAAAAACTATCATTATCCAAAAGTGTACCAAGATTAGTTGAAGGTAGGACGTGCAGCCAGTGTCCCGACTCTCTGGCAGATGACGCTAAAAGTCTGGCATGGTTTACGTCACTCGAAAGATTTTGAGCCAAATTTTGAAATGTAGAATGAACCAATGGCGCATCCCAAAGTTTTTGCATGGAAACTTCCTTTGGGATGTCAACATTAGGACATTTTAACTTCCATTTTTCTAAGGCCTCTGCAGCACCAGTTATGTTTTGGTTAGATTTCAAAATTTGAGAACAGAGTTTTCGAACACTGTGCTCAGAAGCGAGAAAAGCTGGAAGGGCTATACTTGAAATTTGTCTCACGCCGATGCCACCGATTCTAATAGGTAGGGATGCTTGGGTCAATGAACATTCATCGAAAGATAAATTTAGAATTTTTATATTCCATATATATGTATAAAAAAAATGTCCAGATATATATAAATAGAAAAAAAAAATTGTTTGTAGTTGAAAATGTAACTAGATATTTAACATATTTTAAGTACAATACATATTATATATACAAATACAAAATATATTAGGATTATCATTCCAGTTTTCAGTATCTTAAATTTTCATCCAGATAACACACACCAGGTTTACTAAAACAAAATGGAAATACAGCTAAAGTTACCGAAAATAGTTTTTACTTTTTAGTTACAATGTGAGTAGATTCATACAAAGACATTACAAGAGAGTTTCTTCTTTGTGTGAACGATGAATTAAATTTATTTAATTTTTGGTTATATCGAGATGAAAAAGCAGTGTTGTACGACTGATTTCACTGACATCGTCATGCAAAAACAAGGTCATCTTTACAGAACGTATGAACAAATAACAATGCTCATGAGTGTTGGGTCCTTTCATAATCTGTGAGGCTTTTGCGCGTGCGCGGTTCCCGGGTCGATATATGGTGACGTCAGGGGGAGTTGGGCTTCAGTCAGCCGTCGGTGGCCGCAACGAACATGTGGCTGCAATGCATCGCTGTGACGGTGCTGATCGCCGCGACTGCGACCCGCGAAATATTCACCAACTCCTTCCTGGTCCGGTTCAAGAGGTCTATCCGCCACGAGGAGGCCCAGGAACTCGCCCTCCGGCACGGCTTCGACAACCTCGGCCCGGTGAGCGGCCACGTGATATTGTAAACATAGCCATAGCCATTTACGCGTAGTTTAATTTTGTGGGAACTGCCTGTTCCTAACGCCAATTCGTTTCCGTAATTTATTTTACTGCATGCGTATTAAGATCGGAATTTTGACAGTATGGATTTTTTTGTTTTTTGTACTTTTATAAAATTTACTTTTATAAAGTTTACTTTTATAGAACCTTGCATTATGTCAGGGTTAGAGTTTATTTACTCTGGAATATAAATAATACTTCAGCAGTTACCTACTAGATTTCTATTGTTTACAATAATATAGATATTGACCTTTCCCTAATAAATTTTGAATCTAGCTACACCTGCAGATAGTACGTCTTCATAATTGAAACATATAAGTCTAAAGCTTATAAATAATAAGAATAACTTTTTTCAAGAAAGCCGAGGTCTTGCTTTTCTGTTATATATATTTATGATTTTATTAAACTCTTTTTTATATCTATGTAAGTACTTAATAATAGTAGGAAAGAAAAATATTGATAACTAAATGTAAAATTCGTTTTACAGAGAAATAAAAAATAAACTTTAACTTGTTTGTTAGTTGGTTCTACAAGCAATATTGCCGATGATGACAACTCACTATTCTGGCGCGGACATAATAATATAGAGATAACCATAACTTCGAATATATATATCTATATATATATAACAGTTATTTCAAACGTAACAATATTGGATACGTTTGTAATGTATCGAATGAACTATATCTTTTAAAGGGCTTAACTAAAATGTTCCATAGTACTAAATATTTTTAATACTTAACAATTATTATTAGTTGATTTCATGAACAGTCAAACAAAGAAGTCAAAATAAATAACACGATTCATGAAAAATTTGATATTTATACATTTTTCTTTTATCATTTAGGCTTTTTTGAATTTTATGTGAGAGAGATCAAGCCATAGTCCACGAGACGACGACGCTGGAAAAATGCGGGTTGGCGGACTACACATGTTAAAGCTAGTTAGTTTTCTCACATCAGATATGTAGGTTTCATACGATGTTTTACTTCATCGCAAGGCTTAGTAGCATGGACCATCGTATGTCGGAAATGATTCTACCACTGAGATACCACTTCTTTATATGTGTGTGTTATCGGGTAGCTAGGGTACAGTTATACTATAAAGAATATTATTAGTATGGTACAGTATGTCCGTCCATATAACTATATAGGTATCACATTCAAGTTGTACACTAGTATCAACACTTAAGCTGCTAGCGGCGCGTAAGCTTCAAACATGGAGTCGTTTCAATAGGGGCTTAGCACCTGGAATTACGTACTTATATTTAATATCGCTTAGATAAAAAGAGGGTAGCTTTCAATGAACGTATCAATAATAAATGAAATATTTCATCTAACGGATTTTTAACGGTTCATACTTAACTCCTTATAGGTTATACTGTATCTAGCGTTCATGAAACATGCTCAGAACACATACATAAAGATCCAGATTTAAACTGAAAAGCTAAGTTAGATAAATATATATTTCACAAAAATTATCACACCAATTAACTTGACAGTTCTAATATTGTTTTCTGTTATAGCTTTTTCTTAGCAACATATGTGGAAAATAAATATATATTATGTATCTTTTAGAGTATAGGAACACCTACTTCATAAACATCATGTATTAGTATGTATTCTAAATGGCTTATTTTATACTTACTAATTTCGAACCTGCGATTAAATCTAGTACTCGCCATTTTACATAGACAGATGGATAGATAACCATACCCCTGACATTGTGAACCATATGCGGGTTAGTTCAACGAACGTGTTTCAGTTACGTATAAGCTTTACAATTGGATATACAAATATCTATGTATAGTACATTTATATCCTTTTCACTGGGTCGTCTCGTTGATAGCGTATTCAATTTCAACCCGGGTTTCAGTCTAAGATTGCTTAATTAAAATATCATTATCTTGGTGAAGAAAGCTTATCATTATATCACATTAATAATAAATCACGTCTATTGGTAACAATAAATATATCTATCAGTAATCTATACTAATATAATAAAGAGGTAAAGTTTGTGACGTTATAGGGGGTAATCTCTGGATTTACTGAACCGATTTAGATGAAATTTGGTAAAAAGAAAGTTTGAGACCCTAGGAAGGACATAGGATACTTTTTGTACTGGAAATCGTCCCTTAAGGGGGTGAAAATGGGGGTGAAATTTTGTATGGGGAATAAACCTAATTAATAGTAAAAAGATAGTAAATAACAATAAATAGGTATCATTAGGGCAAGATATGACCATTTTATTTACCAACAGTCGTTGGATGGTGCCTATACTGTAGGAAAGCTACAATCTTTATTAAAGAATAAGTTATTTATGAACTATACTGGTTATCCTGAATACGTCTGTGCAAAACTCATTATTAGTACGCTTGGATCACCCAGTGATAATATGTTTCAGAGACAGTTTCGAACGTAGGCCGATGGCGCGGTAGGCAATTGATGTCGATCTCGAATCTCGATATTGTCGTATTTTATAAATGATGCCTCCTCGGAAGTTCTTTGTTTCTCATAATTCGCCCATAACTCCACCGATAAAAACTTTAGTTTCCAAAACAGTTGAATTAATTATATGCCTATAATGTTAAACTGGAATCACATCTGGGTTGGTAATAGCACCTACTTAGTTACTAATAGCACAGATCACATAATACTATACTAATACAGATGCCGCATCCTGTCCAAAGAAATTGGGCAGTGCTAATTCGGGCTATTCTTCCAGCTATTTTTGTTTGCTTGAATATATAATAGATGTCGTTGCAAACTTACGTATGGTAAATATTGTAAAATTCATCTTGTATTCGAACAAAAAACCTCAGCGATATTAACAATTTTTAACCGTGATAAGCAATTCATAAAAAGTAAAAGCGTCATTTGTAAATGTACTCTACAAACCCATCACCTGATTGCTGATATTTCAATAATCAGAAAATACCGCAAATTTGATTTACGAGCGCATTATTTCGTTTTCCTTACTAAGAATATTTTTTTAAACTATACACCTTTTGGGGTCTATTTTTTTATCTTTTGTTAATTTAACACAACTTTAATAACAAATCGATACATATAACGTCATTTATTGACATTTATTGGAACTAATTTTTGTTTGTTCATGAGACTCCTTGACCAGTACTAATAGTAATAGTACTTATTTCATTTGCCCATGAACGACGTAAAAAGGCGATATGAGACCATTTAAATAGAATTGCAGTAGGTACATTTTTTTTAAATCTATCTAAAATAACACCACACTGACACAAGTGTTACTCTTAAACAGGACAGTGACTTCATTCAAGTGCACTGTGCAGGCTAAAACATTTTTGAAATCGAATGTTCAGAATAAGATTATTAGACTAACATCTGTCGAAAATGCATTTACGCACGACGTGTGGGACTCACCGGCGTAATACAGCCAGTACTACCCACTAAAACCCAACAAAACCTTCCCCCGTCTTAATGAGGCGTCGCAGGATCGCTTACGCATTCAACTACGACGACCCGACGGCAGGTCTACCAAAGCAGACCACCACAACCATGGGGTTGCTCCAAGGTCCGCTCTGCTATCAGAGAAGTACCAGGAGCAACCCGCAAGGTACACCGCCCCCCCGAAGAGGGCCACCTCCCACCGCCCACCGAAGTGGGCAACCTCCCTGTGCGTTTCTTAGCTTCGCGCCCGGTTGGATGCCGGGCACTACTGAGCCCCCCACCACGACAAGGTGAACGCACGTTGGGGGGGAGGGGGGCTCTGTCGATGTCTACTGGTCAGTGGGTAACCCAATTCGTGACCTACATTCGTGATTTATTCCATCGGGAATTGCAATTTTAGAGATTTAATGTGTGACGTTTTTGCGAAATCTGAAATATCTTCTTGCGATAAGAGAATTAGTTTATATTTTTAAAGAGCTCAGGCTATAATTATGTATGTACTATTTAAGTAACGACATTAAAAACCTATTAATGTAATTAAGTAATGTTTTTAAATCTTTAGAAACCTCTCAAGCACTTTTCGTTACATACAGGATTTAACTAAACATTTGTTAATACCAGAAATATTTCCAGTGAGTATATACCATGCCAAAGAACTATTTCCTAATGGTTTTATATATTTATGAAGTTGTTTGCTTTAATATTTTTTATCAACGCTCAGACCAAACTGTTGAATGAAAATCGTTTAATTAAAACAATACAACGTAATTCTATTTCTATAATGAAAAATCTTGGCAAAGTTTGTATGAAAAACAAAAAATCGTTTTGGTATTTAATAGAAAAATGTGGTAGCCTGGAATAGTATTAATGAGCAAGAAGAAAGTCTAAAATATAAATGGATTTGAACTTTGACATGGCATAAGTCATAACGCTTACATATGAACATTGGACATATTATGTTATTTCCATTTATTTTTAAATTTTCTTATAGTAGTAATGATCGTCGAATGTCGTCTTGTTTAAACTCGATCTTTATAACTTGTTGAAGAACCATAGAGTTAAAATTAACAGTGTCTGCTATAAAAACAGCTTTACTGTAGGTTTGTATAAATATCTGAATACGGATTATGGAACCCTGTCAAAATATATTTCAATATATCAGGGAGATAACGATAAGGGATCACTTCAGCTATTGTCAGATATGGAATTCTCGGATTACGATAATTATTTCCTTTTCTAAAAATATTATATTACTAGCGACTAACTCTCGTTTCACTCCGGTGCGACCTTAGGTACCCAATTATTAGTTACCCAACAGCAGCCTAAGTGTTACTCCATCATTATCTGTAAACTTAGTAATTTCATTCAAATCCGTTCAGCCATTTCAGAGTAAAGGATTAACAAAATACACATACATACAAACTTTCACATATATAATAGTAGTTAGACTAGTATAAAACCGCTACATCATCTATCTATATTATAAATGTGAAAGTTTATTAGTATGGATTTTTGTTACTCTTTCACTCCAGAACGGCTGAACGAATCTGGATGAAATTTG